TACAGTCTCTAAATGTACTATGGGAGGTAGAGCCTTCAGTTATCAGGTCTGCTCGTGTTACAGTCTCTAAATGTACTATGGGAGGTAGAGCCTTCAGTTATCAGGTCTGCTCGTGTATGTCTCTAAGTGTACTATGGGAGTAGAGCCTTCAGTTATCAGCTGCTCGTGGTACGGTCTCTAAGTGTACTATGGGAGGTAGAGCCTTCAGTTATCAGCCTGCTCGTGGTACCTACGGTCTCTAATGTACTATGGGAGGTAGAGCCTTCAGTTATAGGCCTGCTCGTGGTACTAGTCTCTCAATGTACTATGGGAGGTAGAGTCTTCAGTTATAGGCCTGCTCATGGTATGGTCTCTAAATGTACTATGGGAGGTAGAGTCTTCAGTTATCAGGCTTGCTCGTGGTACCTACAGTCTCTAAATGTACTATGGGAGGTAGAGCCTTCAGTTATCAGGTCTGCTCGTGGTATGGTCTCTAAGTGTACTATGGGAGGTAGAGCCTTCAGTTATCAGACCTGCTCGTGGTATGTCTCTAATGTACTATGGGAGGTAGAGCTTCAGTTATCAGGCCTGCTGTGGTACCTACGGTCTCTAAATGTACTATGGGATGTAGAGCCTTCAGTTATCAGGCCTGCTTGTGGTACCTACGGTCTCTAAATGTATTATGGGAGGTAGAGCCTTCAGTTATCAGGTCTGCTCATGGTACAGTCTCGAAGTGTACTACGGGATGTAGAGCCTTCAGTTATCAGGCTTGCTCGTGGTACCGACTGTCTCTAAATGTACTATGGGAGGTAGAGCCTTCAATTATCAGGCCTGCTAGTGGTACCTACGGTCTCTATATGTACTATGGGAGGTAGAGCCTTCAATTATCAGGCCTGCTCGTGGTACCTACGGTCTCTCAATGTACTATGGGAGGTAGAGTCTTCAGTGATAAGACCTGCTCATGGTATGGTCTCTAAGTGTACTATGGGAGATAGAGTCTTCAGTTATCAGGCTTGCTCGTGGTACCTACAGTCTCTAAATGTACTATGGGAGGTAGAGCCTTCAGTTATCAGGTCTGCTCGTGGTATGGTCTCTAAGTGTACTATGGGAGGTAGAGTCTTCAGTTATCAGGCCTGCTTGTGTTACAGTCTCTAAATGTACTATGGGATGTAGAGCCTTCAGTTATCAGGCCTGCTTGTGTTACAGTCTCTAAATGTATTATGGGAGGTAGAGCCTTCAGTTATCAGGTCTGCTCATGGTACAGTCTCTAAGTGTACTACGGGATGTAGAGCCTTCAGTTATCAGGCTTGCTCGTGGTACCGACGGTCTCTAAATGTACTATGAGAGTTAGAGCCTTCAGTTATCAGGTCTGCTCGTGGTACAGTCTCTAAATGTACTATGGGATGTAGAGCCTTCAGTTATTAGGCCTGCTCGTGTTACAGTCTCCAAATGTACTATGGGAGTTAGAGCCTTCAGTTATTAGGCCTGCTCATGGTACCTACGGTCTCTAAATGTACTTTGGGAGGGAGAGCCTTCAGTTATCAGTCTTGCTCGTGGTACCTACAGTCTCTAAATGTACTATGGGAGGTAGAGCCTTCAGTTATCAGGTCTGCTTGTGGTACAGTCTCTAAATGTACTATGGGAGGTAGAGCCTTCAGTTATCAGGCCTGCTAGTGGTACCTACAATCTCTACATGTACTATGGGAGGTAGAGCCTTCAGTTATCAGGCCTGCTCGTGGTACCTACGTCTCTAAATGTACTATGGAGGTAGAGCCTTAGTTATCAGGCCTGCTCGTGGTACCTACGGTCTCTAAATGTACTATGGGAGGTAGAGCCTTCAGTTATCAGGTCTGCTCGTGGTACCTACAGTCTCTAAATGTACTATGGGAGTTAGAGCCTTCAGTTATCAGGTCTGCTCGTGGTACCTACAGTCTCTAAATGTACTATGGGAGGTAGAGCCTTCAGTTATCAGGTCTGCTTGTGGTACAGTCTCTAAATGTACTATGGGAGGTAGAGCCTTCAGTTATCAGGCCTGCTCGTGGTACCTACGGTCTCTAAATGTACTATGGGAGGTAGAGCCTTTAGTTATCAGGTCTGCTCGTGGTACAGTCTCTAAGTGTACTATGGGAGTTAGAGCCTTCAGTTATCAGGCCTGCTCGTGTTACAGTCTCTAAATGTACTATGGGAGGTGGAGCTTTCAGTTATCAGGCCTGCTCGCGGTACCTACAGTCTCTAAATGTACTATGGGAGGTAGAGTCTTCAGTGATAACACCGGCTCGTGGTATGGTCTCTAAGTATACTATGGGAGGTAGAGCCTTCAGTTATCAGGTCTGCTCGTGGTATGGTGTCTAAGTGTACTATGGGAGGTAAAGTCTTCAGTTATCAGGCTTGCTCGTGGTACCTACAGTCTCTAAATGTACTATGGGATGTAGAGCCTTCAGTTATCAAGCCTGCTCGTGTTACAGTCTCTAAATGTACCATGGGAGTTAGAGCCTTCAGTTATCAGGCCTGCTAGTGGTACCTACGGTATCTACATGTACTATGGGAGGTAGAGCCTTCAGTTATCAGGCCTGCTCGTGGTACCTACCGTCTCTAAATGTACTATGGGAGGTAGAGCCTTCAGTTATCAGGCCTACTCGTGGTACCTACGGTCTCTAAATGTACTATGGGAGGTAGAGCCTTTAGTTATCAGGTCTGCTCGTGATACAGTCTCTAAGTGTACCATGGGAGGTAGAGTCTTCAGTTATCAGGCTTGCTCGTGGTACCTACAGTCTCTAAATGTACTATGGGAGGTAGAGCCTTCAGTTATCAGGCTTGCTCGTGGTACCTACGGTCTCTAAATGTACTTTGGGAGGAAGAGCCTTCAGTTATAAGGCTTGCTCGTGGTACCTACAAACTCTAAATGTATTATGGGAGGTAGAGCCTTCAGTTATCAGGCCTGCTCGTGGTACCTCCGGTCTCTAAATGTGCTATGGGAGGTAGAGCCTTCAGTTATCAGGCCTGCTCGTGGTACCTACGGTCTCTAAATGTACTATGGGAGGTAGAGTCTCCAGTGATCAGACCTGCTCGTGGTATGGTCTCTAAATGTACTATGGGAGGTAGAGCCTTCAGTTATCAGGTCTGCTCGTGGTACAGTCTCTAAGTGTACTATGGGAGGTAGAGTCTTCAGTTATCAGGCCTGCTCGTGGTACCTACAGTCTCTTAATGTACTATGGGATGTAGAGCCTTCAGTTATTAGGCCTGCTCGTGTTACAGTCTCTAAATGTACTATGGGAGGTAGAGCCTTCAGTTATCAGGCCTGCTCGTGTTACAGTCTCTAAATGTACTATGGGAGGTAAAGTCTTCAGTTATCAGGCTTGCTCGTGGTACCTACAGTCTCTAAATGTACTATGGGATGTAGAGCCTTCAGTTATCAAGCCTGCTCGTGTTACAGTCTCTAAATGTACTATGGGAGTTAGAGCCTTCAGTTATCAGGCCTGCTAGTGGTACCTACGGTATCTACATGTACTATGGGAGGTAGAGCCTTCAGTTATCAGGCCTGCTCGTGGTACCTACCGTCTCTAAATGTACTATGGGAGGTAGAGCCTTCAGTTATCAGGCCTGCTCGTGGTACCTACGTCTCTAAATGTACTATGGGAGGTAGAGCTTCAGTTATCAGGCCTGCTCGTGGTACCTACGTCTCTAAATGTACTATGGGAGGTAGAGTCTTCAGTTATCAGACCTGCTCGTGTGCCTACAGTCTCTAAATGTACTATGGGAGGTAGAGTCTTCAGTTATCAGGCCTGCTCGTGGTACAGTCTCTAAATGTACTATGGGAGGTAGAGTCTTCAGTTATCAGACCTGCTCGTGGTACCTACAGTCTCTAAATGTACTATGGGAGGTAGAGTCTTCAGTTATCAGGCCTGCTCGTGGTACAGTCTCTAAATGTACTATGGGAGGTAGAGTCTTCAGTTATCAGACCTGCTCGTGGTACCTACAGTCTCTAAATGTACTATGGGAGGTAGAGTCTTCAGTTATCAGGCCTGCTCGTCGTACAGTCTCTAAATGTACTATGGGAGGTAGAGTCTTCAGTTATCAGGCCTGCTCGTGGTACAGTCTCTAAATGTACTATGGGAGGTAGTGCCTTCAGTTATCAGACCCCTCTCTTTTGGAATCATCTACCACAGAGGGTTTGGGAGGCAGACACACTCACTTTTAAAAACAGACTTAAAATTGTACTTTTTTCATATAGCTTTTAGTTAGGGCTGGCGCAGGTATGGACCAGCTCCTACTTATGCTGCCGGTGGAACTGGCACATTGAGTTCCTATCTCTCCCTCTCTGCATTTATGTATCATCAAAGGTCACACTGCTGTAAGCACACATACACTCAAACACTGCTCTCCTTACAGTAGCATGACTCTATGAGATAGTTTACTGAAAATGAATTGATGGATCGCTGACAGCACGTAATAACACATTAACTCACCCTCTAAAAGTCAAGTGTCCGAGATGAATGATTAAACACTGAGCTGACAGCACACTCTGACATGAAACTTATCTGTGCAGAGTTAAAACAGCTGTTGGATTGATTATTAAATATTGATACCTGCTGTCAGAAGGACATCGTTTATTCAAACAAATATTTAAATCTGTGTTCTCTGTTTAACTCTGAGTTTGACAGAGGAGGGAGATTCCCCTTCATTCTGTTTAAAACTTTTCCGGTTTTGATGGTCACATTGCCCTCTGCTGGTCAGGAGTAAGATGTACATGTGATTGTTGAAGGTTCAACCAAACACTCAGGATTATTAATGGATCTGCGAGATGATTCAAACATGAACAAAAACAGAAAATAACAATTTGTCACTTTAAAATATATTCATGTATTTCATTAATGATTGGGTATATTTAATTAAACAAAGTATATCTATAATGTGTTCTTTTGAGTCTGACCTTTGACCCGCCATCTCTGCAAGCACAGCTGCTGCCTTCATGTGGGTCCGGAAAATATCGTGTCAAAACAAGTTTACAAAGCTCCGACACGTTGACCCGGAGATAAATTTGATGAACTTCTAGAGACGAAGTGATGCCAGCACACCTCTAAAAGATTAAATTAATGTATGTTAATTCCACAGACCTAACCTAACATGAGCTGCGACATCAGATGTAATAAACTCCGAGCAGCACTTGAACGCGGCAGGAGTAGAAGCCGTGAGGAGTTCAGGGTCCACTTTACGGTCACATTGTAGTTTTTACTCTTTTACTCTTTTATTTCTGGATGGATCCTCAGCCTCCACAGAAGCCGTGGGAGAGGAGGATACCTGGAGCCATGAGTACACCTGTGAACTACAGGTGAGCTAGCTGTAGCCGCGTTAGCAAACAGTGAGCTTGTTTATGTGAAACTCGTGTTAATGCAGATGTTGTGGCTGCTAACGCTGAGGTCGAACAGAGGAGACAGAGAGAACGTTTTCTGCATGTTGTAGAGACTCAATAATAACATTAATTAATCAAATCAGCTGATCAGTTTGAATCTTTTAACGTCGACTCACCTGTAAACTCCGTGAGCTGTTAGCTTAGCAGTTAGCTTAGCAGTTAGCAGGCCTGTGTCTCCTCTTGACCCCTGACCCGCCGGACCTCATTCATAGTCACATTGTTTTCTTCAGTGTAAATAAACAGTTAATAACTTCACAGTGATCTTTAGAGACTTTGTCTTCTTTCTGCATCACTTGTATGAAAACTTTCATTAATATGAAGTATTATAAAACTTCACAGTGATCTTTATTGGCTGTTGTATTTCAGTTTCTGCCTGATTAATAAACCATGTTGTTCCTAAATATCACAATTTAGACTTAACCCTAACCTGTTTGTTACCATGCCAACATAAATAGAAATCTTACACCTGATATCGGATAGTTTCATTTCTCTCCGGTCTCATGAAACAGTTTTCTCTACTTTTGAGATTATAATACACTGAAATATAAATGAAGATTTTGTCTCATTAGGTCTGTAAACTTGGCCCCGCCTGTTGGCCCCTCAGGCTCTGTGGGCCCCCCCGTCCTGACCAGGATGGCCCCCCCTGTGCCTCCTCGTTCTGTCCAGCAGGCCTACCGTCCCTCCTACGGCGCCTTCTCCTCCTCCTACAGCCCCTATGGGAGCTCCATGTACGGTGGGAGCTCCATGTACGGGGGTACAGCCCCTACAGCTATGGCGGGGTTTTGGCGGGGGTACGGCCGCCTCCCCCACACGGAGGAAGTGGCGCCCAGCCGGTTTGTGCAGCAGGCGGAGGAGAGCAGCAGGGGAGCGTTCCAGTCCATCGAGAGCATCGTGCAGGCCTTCTCCTCCGTCAGCATGATGCTGGACGCCACCTTCTCCGCCGTCTACAACAGCTTCAGAGCCGTGCTGGACGTGGCCAATCACCTGACCCGCCTACGTGCTCACCTGACCCGCGTCCTGTCAGCCTTCGCTCTAGTACGCACGCTGCGTTACCTTTACCGCCGCCTGCAGAGGCTGCTGGGCCGGCGCTCTGACACTGAGGTGGAGGACTTGTGGACGGACAGCGCCAGTGACACCCTGACTGCAGCTGGAGGGGCGGAGCTTCACACCCCAAAGTCCTGGCCCATCTTCCTGTTCTTTGCCGTGGTCCTGGGGGGGCCGTACCTCATCTGGAAGTTGCTGAGCTCTAGCCCCGCCCCCGAAGAGCAAGGTGGGAGTCCTTTTCAAAACCAGTTTTCACAAAATCAGAATTTAAAATTTAAAAATTAAAATCTAAAAAAGATTCACATCTGCAAATAACCGAGATCTGTGTTTCCATGTAGACTCAAACTGGGCGAGTGGCGAGGACGACCACGTGGTGGCTCGAGCAGAGTTTGATTTCTCAGCAGCGTCAGAGGACGAGATTTCTCTGAGAGCGGGAGACATGCTGAACCTCGCTCCTAAAGGTGAGAACTGTCCTGCTGCTCCTTATTCTGTCCTCACCTGTCCTCACCTGCTCTTACCTGCTCTCACCTGTCCTCACCTGCTCTCACCTGTCCTCACCTGCTCTTACCTGCTCTTACCTGCTCTCACCTGTCCTCACCTGCCCTCACCTGTCCTCACCTGCTCTTACCTGCTCTTACCTGCTCTTACCTGCTCTCACCTGTCCTCACCTGCCCTCACCTGTCCTCACCTGCTCTCACCTGTCCTCACCTGCTCTCACCTGTCTCACCTGCTCTCACCTGCTCTCACCTGTCCTCACCTGCCCTCACCTGTCCTCACCTGCTCTCACCTGTCCTCACCTGCTCTCACCTGTCCTCACCTCCTCTCACCTCTCACCTGCCCTCACCTCCTCTCACCTGTCCTCACCTGTCCTCACCTGTCCTCACCTGCTCTCACCTGTCCTCACCTGTCCTCACCTGTCCTCACCTGCTCTCACCTGTCCTCACCTCCTCTCACCTGTCCTCACCTCCTCTCACCTCCTCTCACCTGTCCTCACCTCCTCTCACCTGTCCTCACCTCCTCTCACCTGTCCTCACCTACTCTCACGTTGTGTGTGTGTGTGTGTGTGTGTGGTGTTGGTGTGTGTGTGTGTGTGTGTGTGTGTGTTGGTGTTGTGTGTGTGTGTGTGTGTGTGTGTGTGTGTGTGTGTGTGTGTGTGTGTGTGTGTGTGTGTGTG